ACGGCCTTTATTTATAAGAATATTTTACTATATACATTTTCTTGTCTATATTAACGTTATCTAAGACTATAATGATTACGACTACTTTAGTGTTCCCTCCATTACTGACTACGTTACTTACTTCGCCCTAATCGTCGGAAAGGACTTTTCCTACATTTCGGTCCTTCTGACGATTCTGATTTTTCTAGCCGGGTCACCCTTATTTGGTTAGCCGTGTCACGTGTCACGTGACTTAGCCGGATAACGTACGTCATATTCTAACCAGTATAATTTTACTGATAATAATTATAATGGAAAAAAGTAAATTGACTATATTTATGAATAAAATTTGATACCATTTTAATTACTAGTGCGAGAAATTTTAGGTTTAGTGCAAATCACAAAAACGAACCTAACATGAAAATCTTCGGTTATGTTTTCCGATTGAGCATTTAATTCTTCGATAACTCCAGCTTTAATTAAATTAAAAGCTTCAAGAACATTATACTTAAAACTTGAGTTTTTATACTTTACAGGTTTTGTAAAAAAGTTGGATAACTATAATATATTTTGAATGATCAGTTATTGTATGTCTTTTATCTTTTGTTATTCATATACAGTGGCGGCCAAAGATATTGCATCATCTGAACACAAAATTTAAATTTTTAATATCTCATAGTACAAAAATCACAGCAACGCAAAGAAGGCTTTATTGAAATCAACAAATCAAACATATTAAATGTTATAAATTTATTTTTGCAACAATAAAAAACAAATCAAATTATTAATAAATAATGATCTTTTGGGCGATACATTTATTTTAATCATTTTCTTGATTTTTATTTATTATAAAATAAATTTAATAAAAAATGATTCTATTACAAAAATATTTTGTTGAATTGTTATTCATCATCTAGTATAACCACTCTTTGCTTTAATTACATCATTAATACGGGATGGCATGGATTCAATGAGCCATTTACACACGTCTACATCTAACTCAACCCAAACTTTTTGAACAACATTCCACAATTCATCAGGAGTTTTCATGCATTCAAGTCTTTTCAGATGATGGTCTATTTCATTCCACAAATACTCGATTGGATTCAAGTCTGGGGATTAGGAAGATCAATCAAGCACCTTGATCTTGTTTTCTTCTAACCACTCTTTCGTAAGACATGCAGTATGTTTTGGATCATTATCTTGTTGAAAAATAATATCTCTCTTATCTAAATAATGTCACTTGATAGTTCCTAGAAGGTCTTCTTCCAATATTTGATGATATAAAACACCATCCATGTTTCCATAAATGCGGCAGAGGTTGCCAATACCACTTGACGTGAAACACCCCCACACCATGATACTGCCTCCTCCAAACTTGACCATGGGTTGAACATGGTGGTCTTGTAACAATTCTTCAGGCTTTCTCCAACAATACTCTCAACCATCAGATCCAAAAATCATGAACTTGGATTCGTCTGACCACACCTCCTTACTCCAGTCTTTGATGGTCCAAGATACATACTTCTTTGCAAACATTAAACATTGGTGCTTGTGAGATTTAGATAGATATGATTTTTTATGTTTGACTTGGCTCTTAATCTATTATGGTGCAAAATCCGTTTGATTGTGTTTTTACTAACAATAATTCCCTCATCAGTTTTTAGTTTTTTTTGAACAGAAACAGCATTGGTACATTCTCCAGTTGGAATATACCACAACACTTTTCGCTCATAGCAGCCAGTAAGTAGTCTCAGGCATCCAGGCTTTGGTTTGTCACTAAAGGTACCCGTTTCTTTCTTGCGTTGCTTGATTCTTACAACAGTAGATTGAGAAACTTTTTCATGGTCAGCTACATATCAGGTTGGGTATCCTTCATTTAAAAGGGTAAAAATTCAGGCTTGTTTTTCAAACGACAGGTAAACCATATGGTCTATAATTTTTTTGATAGGAGGGCCATGTCACAGAGAATCACTTTTA